GAGTTATTTCTGTGCTTGATATCCCTCGAAGATAACAAATATTGCACGGACGTGCATTTTCGGCGCTCCGCGCGCATTTCTTGGATTGGCGCTGGGCCCATCTGGGGGCGCCTCTGGTTCCACCCCTGGCGCGCTCCGCGCGCCAGGGAGGGGGGTCCAGCGCAGATCCACGAAATCCGAGCGGACCTTTCTAAAGCCTGTGTTTATGCAGTTTTTTCTCCCTTTGAATCTACAGCTCCAGGTAATCTCCCCGCGCTTGGGGACGTCCATGTGGGAGCACTGTGGCTGGGACCCTCTGCGGTCCTCCTGGGGCTTCCTTGAGGCTCTCTTCGGGCCGCTCGGGCCTGATTGGGGGCCGCTTGGGGGGCCACCTCGGGGATCTCTTGGGCCGTCTTGGTGCCGTCTTAGGGTGCCCTCGGGCTGCCTGGCGCCTTCAGAGATTGTATTGGGGGCCTACCTGAATAGGAGGAGGAGGAGGAGGAGGAGGAGGAGGAGGAGGAGGAGGAGGAGGAGGAGGAGGAGGAGGAGGAGGAGGATTCTGAGACGATGCGCTTCCTTACGGGGTGGAAGGTCCCCTGGTGGATGGCCTTGTCGGGGCATCCACCTCTGCGGGCCAAACGGCCCGCAGCGAACGTCGGGGCGCTCCTGCTTTGGGCGCGATGCACCCGCGGGGGCTCTACTTCCAATGTCGCGGAGAAGTTGCGGCGCACACATTGGATGGCACATGCGCGGGCCCTGAGGTCCGTGACCCGCCGTCGTCGGCGCCTGCCGTGTTCCTGTCTATGGCCGGGGCAGTTCGGTGGCGGCTTGCGCCGCCGTGTGCGCCTCAGCAAAGCCTAGAAACTGCGGGAAGGGACGGGAGGTAGATGCCGCCGTGCTCTTGCTCATGGCAGGGGTAGCTCGTTGGCAACTTACGCTGCCATGCGCGTCTCGGCGCAATCTGGAAAGCGGCAGAAAGGATCGGACTGGGGTGTTGCTGAGATCCTGCTCGTGGCAAGGACTGCTCGGCGGCGGCAAGCGCCACCGTGCGCGTCTCGGCGCAACCTAGAAGGGGCGAGAAAAGGGTAGGACGGATGGGAGGTGCTGCCGCTTACCTGCTCATGGCAGGGGGCAAGTCAGTGGCGGCTTTCGCCACTGTGTTCGTTCGCCTCGGCGCAACCTAGAAGCACGAGCGGGGATGGGATGGGTGATGCTGCCGTGCCCCTGCTCATTGCAGGGGCAGCTCGATATCGGCTAACACCGCCGTGTAGTTTTGATCCAGAACGAGGCCGCCCAGAAAAGAAGGCCCCGGACGTGAGTCCAGGGACACCCCCCCAGGGGGAGTCCACGGGCAGCCCGAGGGGGGGTCCCTGGACTCATCTCGGGGCCGTTTTCAGCCGCTTCGCCTCGGATGCTGGTCAGGTCGAGGGAACAAAAGCCGTTTTCAGGCCGCCCACGGCGTCTTTCAGGCAGTCTAAAAGCAGTCTTGGGCGGTCTTCGGAGCCTCTACGGCCGTCTTGGGGCAGAGTTCGGCCGAATTGGGCGTCCGGTGGCAATGGCAGTTATTTTCGCTTTCGTGGTGCCCGCTTGTAGTGCACAGCGCTGCCTGCTCGCTGGGCAGGCTTGCCTACGCCACGCCGACCGCCGAAGCGGCGTGAAGTGCCTCTATGACGGCCACCCAGATCCTCCCCCGGCCCCGTCCATCCCCCATGTCTGGTACACAGCGGAAAAGCGGTGGGAGGGCGGAAGGCACCGTACTACGAACGCAGCAGGTCGGAAAGGGACAAGTGCTCCTCCATGCGCTTCGCCGGCTCTTTCTTGAAGTCAGGGTGCTGGCCCTTCGAGAATCTGTCCCAGGAATATTTCGCCCCGTTGGAGGTGAAGCCGAGCTTGCGCTCATCCTTGAGCTTCCTGAGGTTCACGGATTCAGAGTATGCCCCGCAGGTGCTGCATAGGAGAAAGAGCGTGTTCTACCGCTGCTGGCGGAAAATCGGGGGTGGTCACTGGGAATTCCCAACCCGTCCCCCCACCCCCTTCGAAGACCCGAGGGGGTCACTACTGGTTCGAACGCCCCCCTTTACCCCGTCCCCCAGGCCATCATGAAAAGGGGGGGTCACTACCGGTTCGACCCCCCCTCGCTCCCGCTCCTCGGGACAGCGGGACAGTGGTGGGGACACTGGAACAGTGGTGGGGACGGTGGTGGTGGGGACAGTGGTGTGGCGACAGTGGGTCAGTAGTGGGGACAGGGGGGACAGTGGGACAGTGGTGGGGACGGTGGTGGTGGGGACAGCGGCGAGGGGACTGGGACAGTGGTGGGGACTGGGGACAGTGGGACAGTGGTGGCGACGGTAATGGTGGGGACAGTGGTGAGACGGTGGTGAGGACGGTAGTGGGACAATGGGACAGTGGTAGAGTGGGGAGAGTGGTGGGGACAGTGGGGACGGTGGGGCAGTGGTGGGGACAGTGGGGACAGTGGGACAGTACAGTGGGACAGCGGTGGGGAGAGTGGCGACAGTGGGACAGTGGCGGGGACAGTGGGACAGTGGGACAGTGGTGGGGAAGTGGGGACAATGGGGAGAGTGGGACCGTGGTTGGGGGCAGTGGTTGGGACAGGGGGGACAGCGAGACATTGGTTGGGGCACTCACTGGCGGGGACAGTGGGGACAATGGTGGGAATAGTGGGGACAATGAGACAGTGGTGGGGACAGTGGGGACAGTGGGACTGGCGGGGACGGTGGTGGTAGGGACAAGTATGTGCCTGGAGTGGGGAGAGTTGTGGGGAGAGTGGGGACAGTGGGACAGTGGTGGTGGTGGGGACAGTGGTGAGGGCGGTGGTGAGGACGGTGGTGGGACAATGGGACAGCTCAGTGGGACAGCGGCGGGAACAGTGGGGACAGTGGGACAGTGGCGGGGACAGTGGGGACAGTGGGACAGTGGCGGGGACAGTTGGGACAGTGGGGACAGTGGCGAGAGTGGGACCGTGGAGAGAACAGTGGTGTGGACTGGGAACAGTGGGGACAGTGCGACAGTGGTGGGGGCACTGATGGGGACACTGGGGACAATGGTGGAAGCCCTGATCCCAAGACGGGGTCCCTCTAATGCCCAACCCTGCATGAAGGTGTTGTCTGGCCGCTATCCTTTCCCAGGGGGTAGAGGATGACTTCGCGACGCCGAGGGAATTGGAGTAAATGGAGGTGGCGCGCGGGAGGTGCTCCATGACCGCGAGCAGTGCAATGTGTTCGGCAGCAGGGGAGGTCAGCGGGTAGGCCGCCCCGACGGCCCTCCAGAGCGCAGCGTGCAAGTCCCCTGCCGGGGTGATCTTAACTACTGCCCACCCGGCCGCGTGAAACAGACGGAGGCCACCCTTGAAACAGGACCCGTCTGTGAAGATGACGCCCTCGAAAGCACGTTCGACCGGGCAGAGATCGTCTCGGCACCATTGTTGGTATGGGTTGGTCCCTGAGCCTGGTGGCGGCACCGTCACTGCCTCGGGGAACACCAGAAAACTGCACACCAGAGGGAAGTTCCGGTGCCTGTTGGCGAGGATGGTGAGATCACCTGCTTGGAGCATTTGTCCCCTCAGAGGTGCTGTGCTGGGGCAGTGGTGGAGACGGTGGGAGATGCTATCCGACGGCCCCCCGCATATGCAGGCGGAGTCCACTGGATAGCCCGCGCAGCGCAGCTGGTGGTGCGTCTACACAGAATGGCACAAGAAAGATGAGATGAGGCCTTGTTCGTGACGGGACAAGCTGCGCTCTCTGATGAGTTGCCTGGCCACTGTCAGATCTAGCGCGGTGCCCCGCGGCAGGCCCTTCCTGCAATCGCGGTCGGCGAGCGTCTGGAGGAGGAGGAGGAGGAGGAGGAGGGCCGTCTTGAGGCCCTCTCGGGGCGTATGAGATGTTCTGAAGCCCGACGAGCTCTCGAGCCTCGACCCTCGATCTTCAATTCTTGAGACCAGCATCGTTGCAACGTCATGCAGCGCACGGTCGCGGGTCGCATCCTCGCAGGATCTGCTGTAGACGGGCAGCTCGGGGAGCGGGTCGCCCCACAAATGAGGCGGACGTGCAAAGACTATTAATTACACGTGCGTCAAGTAAACGTCACGCTCGCCATCGGGGCGCACAATTCAAGTACTTCTCCTCAGGAGTCGACTAACATGTTGTTTTGGCAATCTCGTGGATGTTTTTTTTTTTTTTTTTTTTTTTTTTTTTTTTTTTTTTTTTTTTTTTTTTTTTTTTTTTTTTTTTTTTTTTTTTTTTTTTTTTTTTTTTTTGTTTTTTTGTTTTTTGTTTATATTATATAACGTTTTCGGTATGTTCTCGTTCTGGGGGCTATCGCTGGCCAATCACGACTTTGCCTTTGCGACAAAAGACTGCTTTGGGCCATCGGTCGGACTGCTTGCGCTGCAAAACGCCACGACACGCACGAACACAATACCAGAACGCGAACCACTGTTTTGGTAGACCCCCCCAGCCCCCGACGTCGCGATTTTTGACAACGTCGGCCCCCAGAGGTCTGCACCCCTTCCCCAGGACCAGTTTTTCATGCTGAGTCGTTTGTTGACGGCCCCGAAGTCCGGTAAGGGTCCCCAGAGGCCGAAAACAGCGAAAAACACCTCCCAATGTGACTCTTTCACAGCGCGACGGGGGTCTGGGTCTGCACGTCCTCGAGAGCCAGGCAGAGTACCGACAACGCAAGCACAGCTTGAGAGCTCTGCGGTCTCATCGAGCCTCCCGCCGCGGGGAGGCCGCGGCAGCCTGGCCGTGAGCGGGCCCCGGCGCGCTCGGCCCCAGGCCTGCGGGCGTCATCGAGGGCCTCTATGCCGCCGGGGAGCTCGCGGGCGGCGTGCACGGCAACAACCGCCTGGGTGCGCCCCGCCCCTCTCCCTCCCTCCCGCCCCGTCCCGCGGTCTTCCACGGAGGGTCTCGCTGGACCCTGCCCTCATCGCGCCGTGAAAGACTCATGACGGGAGGTGTTTCTCGCCACCTGCGGCAAAGAGGGGGGTGATGACTGGGGTGGGGATATCATGGCGTGGGCCATGATATTTCCTCAGATTTCATGGCGCCTTTGCTTATTGAATCGCTTCGCTCATTCCGCCGGCCCATTTCGCATGACTGAGCCTCTTGGGGCCGCTGGGGGGCCTCTTCAGCGTCGCTTGGGGGCCTCCTGAGGGCCTCTTGGGTTGGGGGCTTTTGGGGCCTCTCAGGGGCCTCTTGAGGCCTCCTGGGGGCTTCTTAAGGCCGAGGGCTCGAAGTTTTGTTTTGTGTTCCCCCTTTGGGGCATCGCTTGGGGCCCTCTTGGCCCCCTCTTGGGCCGTCTTGGATGCTCTTGGGGCGATCTTGGGGGCCTCTTGGGCCGTCTTGGGGCGTCGGGAAGCCGAAAAGATGGACACGCCAAAATCTGCCCCAAACCTTGAGAAAAGTAATGAGTTTTGCCTCTTGGGGCACTGGGGAGTGCTCTTGGAGGCCTCTTGGGGCGTCTGGGGGCCATCTTGGCCGTCTTGGAACGATCGTGTGGCATCTCGGAGCACTCTTGAACCATCTTGGAGGGCTCTTGGCGGCCTCGTGGCCCTTCTTGGGGCTCTCTGGAGGGCCACGGGGGCGGCGCCCAGGAGGAAAACCATCTCTGACCCGACCCTGCCGGGGATCGCCCAGGGTACTTTTCGTCCGGGGACCCCCAGGGGCCGCCCCGCGCGCGCGAAGTATTATTATTATTTAGCAGTTACCGGAGATCTTAGCACGCCTCTGGCCCGTTGGGCCGGCGAATTTCATTACGTCCCTGCGCCCCCCCTGTGCGCGGCGCTGGCCATGATTTGCGCCCCCCACCTCTTGGACGCCCCTCTCTTGGCCGCCCCCGAGTTTCGCTATTTTCCGCCTCCGGGGGCTCTTACAGGGCCTCGGGACCGTCAACAAGACGACTCGGGATGAGACACTTGCCCCAGGGAAGGGGTCCAGGCCTCTGGGGGTCGACGTTGTGAACAAGTCACGGCGTCGGGGGTCTGGGATTGTCCTGGGCTGTCTTGCGCCGTCTTGGAGGCCATTCTTGGGGCTCTCCTGGGCTGTCCTTGTGCCACCCTGGAGGCCGTTTAGGCTCAAAGCGTGGGGGGGGGGTCGTCCAGACCCGGGGAGGGACCTCCTCTTCCCTAGAGCGGGTCAGCCCCTCCAGTCGGCCTGCGGCCACTGAGCCGGCGCGTGCGGCCTTCGCGCTGGCCTCGGCAAGGCGCGACCAGGCAATGGGGGTGCTCACGATGGCCGCCGAGATGGCACGCGATGGGTCAAGAGGGCCCAAAAGACAGCATCCACCAGTTCCCTCAGACGCCTCCAGACTGCACAAGACGGCCCACGGGGCACCCAACATCGCCTCAACGTTGCCCCCGAGGCTTACACAGAGGCCCACTGTGGGCCCACAGGCCCCCAAGAGGCCCCCAAGAGAGCCTCAACGGGGCCCCAAGAGACTCTCACACCGAGCGAGGCGCTAGAAGACCAGGCAGACTTGGAAAATAGAGATCCCCGTTGAGGTGCGACAAAGAAGTCTCAATGCAATGGCCCACGGAATCATTCGATCGAGGGGTGCTGCATGGATCCCCAGTCCCAAAAGTGTGCAAGCATTTTGACCACGAGCACAGAAAACTCATAGCCACAATATTGAAACTACATTTGGTCGGGGACTTCACGGGCGAGCAACTCCGGAGGACACGAAACAGGGAGATCTCGGAGACCATTGACCGGCCATGGTCCCACATCTTTCTTATATCGGCTATTTCTTGGTTGAGCCATGTTCGGAGACACGGAGATTCGATAGCTGCGCATGCCTGGAGAGAAACCAATTTGGAATGGCTGCAGACAGTGCGAGCAATCGCACAGAGCAAGGGGACAAGATGGAGAAGGGTTGATCTCAGGGCTTCCGCTGGGCGGCCTTGGAGATGGGACGAGGGCGGCTGGTCTTGGAAAGTGAGCCCAAAAGGAGCCAGGGATAAACGAGGGATCAGCGACCTTGCCCAAAAGTTGTATCGGCACCTCAGAGGTGAGGAATTGTGAATTCATCATTGCTTCGTTGTAGGTCAGTTTTGCGATGAGTCTGCGGGGGCCCGCTTCTAACAGCGAGGAGAAAAAGAGGGCTCCAAGCAACTCCAAATTTTGAAAAGGCCAACAGTGTCCAACGTCCTCGGTGTCCAACGGGCCCCAACAGTGCCCCAGGACGACTCAAGGGGCCCCAGAGGCCCCCACGAGGCCTTTGATGGGCCCCCCCGCAGGGCCCCCCAAAGAGACAACACGAGGCCTTCCATGCCACACATCGGCAATACATCCATCCTGGAAGGCATTCAGACACCTTCGCGTGGCTAGGCTAGGGGTGAAGTCTTGCGACGTAGCCATCCCCTCACAACGCGGGCGAACCCCTCCAGTTGTCAGGATTCGCAGGGGCGGCGTGGGATGGGCCCTGGTCGCCAAGACGACAAGGCAAAACAAGACCATACAAGGCCAGACAAGACAAGACCATACATGACAGTCTCCGAGCGGGTCCAAGATGGCCGTGAGATGCCCCAAAGAGAACCCCCGAGGGTCCAAACCTTTGGACGCAGCCTGCCTGGGTTTGCCCATGGGCCAACACCCCGGGACGGGGTGCCCACGACAGAGCCATGCGTGGGTTTGCCCTGGGGCAGGGACCCTGGGAAAGGGTGTCCTCGGACAGAGCTCTGCGTGGGTTTGCCCTCGGGCACGGCCACGGATTTTGGCCTCGAGCGCGAGCCTGGTGCAATTTAGAACGAATTCTGGCCTCGGCAGCGCGAATCAGATGTAATATATTTGGGATTATGATGTAAATTGCAACGGGTTCTGGACTCCAGAGCGCGCACATGCAATACTGTGCAAGGGATTCTGGTTTCGGGAGCACGAATCAGGTGCCATTTACTACGCGTTCTAGTTTCCAGAGCGCGAGCCTGGCGTAACTTGCAACGGATTCTGGCCTCGGGATCGCGATTCGCTCGTAATTTACAAAAGGGTTCTGGCTTCGGCCGCGCGAATCTTAAATTTACAAGGGATTCGGATTTCGGGGGCGCGAGCCTTATCTGTTTTTGCGTGTCCTTCTGCCCTCCAGGTATTTCTGAGAGCCCCAGGGTGGGATGGTAAAAGGCTGGTTTTCGGTTTCCCAATTCGCGCGGACAACAGCAATCGGCAGTAGGAAGCAGAGAGTAGCACGATAACATGTGGAGGGTGCAGGAAACCTCAGCCGCGCATCCTGCTGGCCCCGCAAGGGGGCTGGCCGATCTTCAATGCGGGAAGTGTCCTTTTGGATTTGCTAACATCGCAACCTCTGGGGCTTCAGCGCCGCGGATCAAACATGGCTATTGCGCCCTGAAGATCCTAGATCGTGCCAGAATACTACTCCTGGGAGTTTAACACCGCGAATCAACGTGACAGTTGTGCCGTGACAGTCCTGACTCGTGCCATAAAGCCTCTCTGGGGAAGTCAACCACGCGAATCCGTGAAACTATTACAACATTTTAGGACCAATGTGCGCGGCGCCAGGGTGAGAGCCACATCTTGGACAAGGACCCTGCCTCCATCCTTGAATATGTTACAAACCTCAAGACGAATATGCGCGGCGCTAAGTCGAACACTACATGTTGAAAACGGCCTGCCCTCCATCCTTGAAGCTACTGCAAATCTGAAGCTTCAGGACCATGCATGGTTCCAATAAGGATTTATTTGCACTGCGGGAAGAGGCCTGTTGGAAGACAACCGCTTGAAAATGTTCAACCGTGCCAAAGCACCAATCTTGGGACTTCAATGCCGCGAGTCAACATCGCTGTTGCGATCTGACAAACCGAAGTCGTGTCAGAACACCAGTTCTGGGACGTCAGCAGCGCGAATCAACGTCACTGTTGCGACGTGACATTCCTAAATCGTGCCAGAACATCATGTATGGAACGTCAACCATAAGAATCCTTCAAGCTCTTGCACATTGGAAATACGAATGTTAATGGCGCTATCGCGAGAGCCACATTACGACGAACGCGCGCGGCGCTAAGGCGAGAGCCACATTTTGAAAACGGCCCGCCCTCACTTTTAGAACGAATGTGCGCGGCGCTAAGGCGAGAGCCACATTTTGGATTCGTCCCGCCCTCCATTCGTGAAGCTCTTCTGAAATTTTCAGATCGCATGTGCACGGCGCCAAGGCGAGAGCCACATGTTAACAATGGTCCGCCCTCCATCCGCGAAACGGTTGCAAACTTTTAAGACTGATGTGCGCGGCGCTAAGGCGAGAGCCAAACTTTGAACAACTTTTAAGACGAGTGTGCGCGGCGCTGAGACGAGAACCACGTTAAAAAACCGGCCGATCCTTCATCCGCGAAGCTGTTGCAAATTCTCAGCTTCAGGATGGTAAATGATGAGGAAGTCTCAGGTGAAACGCCCGGCCCGCCCTACCGACCCGTCTCGGGGTGCCACAGGGAGGAGTTACTTATAAGAACGAGGGATGGAGGAGGAGGAGGGCCTCCCCTCTCCCCCCCCCCTGACCTCGATCCTTTCCCCCCTCCTCCTCCCTCTTCCTCCCTTCCCTCTTCTCCTTCCTCCTCCTCCTCCTCCTCCTTCCTCCTTCCTTCTCCTCCTTCCTCCTCCTCCTTTTTCCTCCCTCCTTCCTACTGCATTCTCCTCCTTCCTCCTCCTCCTCCTCTCTTCTCCTCCTCCTCTCCTCCTGCCTCACCCTCCTTCCCTCCTCCCTCCTTCCTCCTCCTCCTCCTCCTCTCCTTCCTCCTCCTCCTCCTTTCCTCCCTCCTCCTCCTCCTCCTCCTCCCCTATCTCCTCCTCCTCATCCTCCCCCCCTCCTTCCTCCTCCTTCATCCCTCTCCTCCTCCTCCTCCTCCTCCCCCATCGGAAGGTCAACGACGACGACGTCGACGACGACGTCGTCGACGACGGCCCCGACGACGACGGCGCCGCCGATGGCGCCGCCGACGGGGCGCCGAGGTGGCAACTCGCTGCTGGACTGCGTGGTCTTCGGCCGCGTGCCCGCCGCTCGGGGCGCCCGCGCGCGGGCCCTTCGCCCGGCCCGGGGCACCCGGCCCGGGGCTCGCGTCGATTCCTCCGACTCTCACGGAGCGCGTTCCACGCAAAGTATCTGCTCGCAAACGCCCGAAAAGCACGTGTCCGCTTTGATGTAATGACTCGTCGTGGATCCTCCGCGGGGGGTCCAGGCCACTTGCGAGTAGCTACTTTGCGAGTAGTGGAACGCGCTCGTCGAGACTCGATTCGACTCGAACTCGATGGATCCCGATCCCGACCCGATTCGACGTGGGACTCCGACTGGGGATACGGCTTCTCCCTGGAGGCCTGCGGACCTGCCAGTGCCTGCCGACTCGACTTTTCCCGACTCGGCTGCCGATTTCTGCTGAGCCGATTCTTCATGTCGATCGCCGATTCGACGTATCGTTGAGTCGGGCCTGTCCCTCTACAGGAGGAATATTCCAAAATAGTTAAACAAATGTCGGAGGACGATGTTTTGAGCATTTTTTTTTGTTGTTGTTATTTTGTAGTATTTTGGAGGTCGAAAAATTGATAAACATCCTCTTGTAGGAGGCGCTCCTGCCCACCTGGGGGATCGTTGGCGCGACCTGCGGCGCCGCCCTGGCGCCGTGCTCCTGCGACCAGCTGTGAACCCTACGCAGGCCCCCTCGCGTCGTGGAAAACACACGACGGGCGGTGTCTCGCTCTGTTCGTTCGGCCTCTGGGAGCCCTTGCTGGGCCTTCGGGCCGTCACAAAACGACTCGGGATGAAAACCTTGTCCCGGGGAAGGGGTCCAGACCTCTTGGGGGTCGACGTTGCAAAACGATCACGACGTGGGGAGTGGTCTGGGCACCCCAGCTCGGCCTTTCCCCACTCCCCCCCCCTTTTTCGTTCTGCTTTGTTTTTCTCACAGCGGACGATTTTTGCCCACTTTCGGGCCCCGCGGGACCATCACATGTCGAGCCGGCTAGAGCAATGCCGCATAAGGATGGGGTCCAAGGCTCTGGTCGTGATTTGTCACGGGGCTGGATCTTTTTCGCAAGGTACCGATACCGCTACCCTTGTCTCGTTTTCTCTTCTTTGGGTTTCCTGGGCGGCTCTCGTCGCCACCGCCGGATTCGCTCCGAGATTCTGGCCAGAATGCAGCCCAGGAGAGGTCTGGGGAGCAGCGGTATCCCCACCCGCGTGTCCAATCGACGCTGGCTGGGCTCGCTTGGCTGAAGACATTCTCCAGATGGGCGCCAAACCACCCCAACCCAACCCGAAGGCCCCGATTTGCCCTCCATTTCTAGTGGGGGGGGGGTCGGGGAACACTGAAAAACACATGGAACCCGTACCCCCCCAACCTGAAATTCGGGCAAAATTCGGTTCTTCGGGTTGGGTTGGGGTGGTTGAGTAGGTCGTCACTCCAGATGGGCACCTGCGGTCGATGGCGCGACCTGCGGCGTCGCCCGGCGCCGTGCCTCTGCGACCAGTTGCGAGCCCCGATCTTTTTTTTCTCGCAGCGGGCGTCTTCGCCTGGCTTCGGGCCCCGGAGCCATCGCAGATCGATCCACTCCAGAAGCGGCGCGTCCAGATGGGGTCTGGTACTCCTGAGCGTGATGTTTGACGATGGTCTGATATGTTCCAACGTAGGATCTCAGATAGCCCCTGCGTGCTCAAACGACGCAAGTTCTGCATCGGCGGCGAGCCTGTGGGGGAAGTGAGAAGGGGCGGGCCTTCTCAGAAGGCTCGGAAGTCCCCCAGCCTTCAGACTTCTTCAAAGCCCTCCCCCGAAGACGCAGAGCACCTCCCAGACCCCCGGCGTGGTGAGTTTTCACAACGTCGACCCCCAGAGGTCTGGACCCCTTCCCTGGTTCCCTGGGAGCGGTTTTGCGTGCTGGGCTGTCTTCTGACCGTCCCGAGGCCTGGCAAGGGCCCCCCGAGGTCGAACATAGCGGAAAGCCTCCCGCGGCGACTTTTTTTCACAGCGCGAGGGGGCCTGGGCTCCCGGGAGGCCAGAACGGCTCCGAGAAGCCCCGCCGCCTTCCGAGGAGGCCTTCCCCTCCTCGCTTCCCCTCCTCGCCTTCCCCTCCTCGCTTCCCCCCCCCCTCGCTTCCTCGCCTTCCCCCCCCTCCCTCGCCGCCGACTGCACGGTCCGAGGCGGCCGCCTCCCCTCTCCCTCCCCCCGCGCCGCGGGGGGGCGGGAGGCGGGGAGGCGGCCGTCGGCCGCCCCGCCGACCTCCCCCTCGCTCCCCGGTAGTCCACGGGCACGCGCACGGGAAGGCGCACGGGAAGCTCGCGAGCCACGGGCGAGGGGCGGCCGATGGGCTCGAGCCACGGGCGAGGGGCCACCGATAGGCACAACACACGTAGATGCACACGAACAGGTGCGCAACTCAGCTTTGCAGCGGCCGACCGGCTCGCGCGACCGCCGAGTCCGCGACAAGAAAAAGCCCAATCGACGCCGGCTGGGGTGTCGAGCACCCCCGCTTTGGAATCGGCTGGGGGTCTGAGGTGGCCCAGTGTTGGTTCTGGCAAATAGGAAGGGGGGGGGAGATCGGAGGTTCGGTGTTCGAGCAGTTTTTGTGATTGTCGTTGTTGTTGTTGTTGTTGAACATTATTCCTTCTAAAGAATTATTATTGTTGGGACCCCTGGTGCGCGACCTCTGCGCCGCGCCTAGGCCGCAGCTACATTTTCATCATTTTTTCGCGAAAGCTTCAGAAAAGTGGATGAGCTCCGGATCCGGTTTTTTGTTGACGCTCGTTTTCCCTTGCAAAAAACAATAGAAAATGAAAATTCTTGTTCTTACTTGATCAAATTGCAAGAATCCCTTGCAAAAATAAGGTAAAGTGGACATTCGTGCGCGCAAGACGAAATCCTTCCAAAACCTTAGGTTTCGTAGCGATTTTAACATAAAAACATCAAAAACCCAATGGTTTTCTCAGAAAAAATTGTCAAAATGTCCTTCCGCGCGCTCTTGCGGATTCCTAGGAAACCACCAGATTTTAAACATTTCTGTTAAAAGGGCCTTTGCGAGGAACCTTTTCAGGTGCTTCGACCTTCTGCAACAACGGTTGCGAGCCTACGAGGGCCACCATCCCTTGCAAAAAACGACACGAAGTGCACATGCGCGCGGCCGCCGCGCGCGTGCCGAAATCCTGCCAAACATAATGTGATTTCAATAATTTCAAGATGCGATGTTCCGAAAACATATGCAAACGCAAGACTTTCTCATCCGAAAAATATCAAAATCCACCCGCGGGCTCTTCATGAATCTTTAAAACCCAAGATGGCCCCAAGAGGCGCTCAAGATGGCCACAAGAGGCGCCCATGAGGCCGCAAGAGGCGCCCAAGATGGTCCCAAGAGGCCCCAAGAGGACTCCAAGAGGCCCCCAAGAGGTTCCAAAGAGGCTCCAAGTTGGCTCCAAGAGGCCCCCAAGATGGCCCCAGGAGGCGTCCAAGCGGCTACAAGAGTCCTCCGGGAGGATCCAATAAGCCCCCAAGAGGCCCCAACATGCTTTCAAGAAGCCCCCCAAAGCCTCTCAAGAGGACCCCATGCGGCGCCAGGAGGCTTCCCCCCTTCCCCAAGAGGACCCCCAGCGGCCCCAGGAGGCTTCCCCCCTTCCTCTCACGCTCATATCCGTAGCCATCTCGGATCAAGGTATCGCCTGTGGTCTTGGATCATGGCTTTGACGGCGAAAGACCTTCACGAGCAGTATGGCGCAGAGCTGTCCCGGCCTCCCTTGGCCGACTGCGAGAGTGCGTATTATTTGCATCAGGCGCTCGCGGCAAAGGGTATCAATGCCAGTCACCAGGCGTGCAAGACTTGGTGGGCCAAGTATCGGGTTGTGACTGGCAAGGTCAGTATTTCTAGCGCCAAGGAGCTGGAGGAGCAGCACGGGTCTGCCATCCGCCACCTGGGCATCGAGTATAATACCGCCTACAAATTATGCCGGGCGCTCCGACAGTTGGATCCACCACTGTATGTGCCAGATAGGGTCGCAACGGCGTGGCTACTGCAGTATTCATCGAAAGACACGCTTGTCCAAGTGCAGAACGCTGGCCATCTGGAGAGCTGGTATGGAGAACGCATTCGCAAAGACATGCCCGAGGGGACCACTGACGGGGCCGTCTTGAAGCAGTGGCTCCTTGGACATTTATCTGTATCTGCTAACGCCAGGGTATGCCAGAAGTGGCTCAGCACGGAGTGGGGCGCCAAGGGGGCATTGAACACTGCCCAAGCTGTGGAGGAAAGTATGGGCGAGCGTCTTCGACTCAATCAGTATCGGGAGAGCTTCGCCGACGAGGCCGCTGCGGAGGTCCTCTCGCAGCTTCTCTCGGACTGTATAACATCAGTGTAACACATGTACTTCTGTAATCGCATCCCCACGAATTTGCCCCAAAAATGTGACCAACTATCTTGGCACTGCGTACCATCTCACGTGTACCGTGTACCACATCATATGTAACAGATGTGATCAACCTCTGTGGGTGTGTACCCCGCGCCAGTGTAGTAGCCAGGGTCGTCCGCACGCCACGAAGTGAAGTGTCCCAACGTCATAGGGCGGGAAGCTGGGTGTGGGTGGTCTCGACGAGTCGTTTGGATATTTGGTAGAGCTTGAACGGCCCCCCCACGAAGTGGGGGTATTGGCTGGTGTCGCAAGAAAACCCTGGCACTGGGGAGAACACTGAGCGTTCGGGTAAAATGATTGTTGTTGTTGTTGTTGTTGTTGTTGTTGTTGTTGTTGCTGATGAACCTTAATTACTAAACAGTTATTATTGTTGGACCCCCTATATTCGCCCTGGCGCTCTCGCCGAGGCGCCGGCCGCATTTCCTCTGAAATTGAGGCTCACGCTCAGGCGTTTTGGGGTTCCGCCAAAACCGCCCCCCCAACAACAACAACGCTCCGGCTCGAGACTTCCTCCTTTTTTACTCGGGCTCGGTGCTCTTGCTCGCCGCCGAGGGCGGCTCCCGGGCCGGACGCCCAGGTCGGCGCCCGAGCCGGCGCCCGGGCGCCGGAAAATCGAGTTCCGAA